TCTGTTTACATCATACTTAATTATAATCAAATAAAATAAAATACAAAGTTATACAATAATAGGTTAGTTCTTAAAAAATTTTATAGATCTAAATATATGGACTTGGTACTTGAAAAGCTTGAGGATTTATTCATGTTTGAAATTTAACCATATAACCTGGAAGGTCACTTAGCACAAATTTTGAAAACCTACACTGGAAAAACATCTTCCTATGTAAAATTTATGGAAAAATGGCAACAAACCAACTGGGAAGACGGAGACATTCTGGTCAGCTTCGACGTAGTCTCGTTATTCACAATGGTACCAGTAAAGGACACATTGAATATCATAAAAGAACAACAATGGTTAGACGAAAAACTACATAGTTTACTGGAATTGTGCACCAAAACAATGCAAACATGGATAAATTCTCAAGCTTTTCAAATAATATGACAATCCATGAAAGTTTCAACATATTCATAATATGGACTTGGTATTACATCTTCAATCTGTAGATGAAAAAGATATTTGTGTGTGTATTTATTTAAAAAATTCTTAATTTGTCAAAATGCAGTCGAAGAATCAACAATATCTATTGATGTAATTAACTTTATGAAGAAAAGTAATGGAGCTTTTACGAACTTAGCCATTGCTCCTAGGATTTTTTTATGAGTCCCAATAACTTAATCTACTACAGAACGCAGAATAAATACAAGAAATTAAAATTGAGTATTGAAAATTACGTAGTTTTTGGATTTTCCATAATACGCAAATTGTAAATTTTGTAAATTCTGTAAGTAGCGTTAAAATTATTTCTCCATCATAAAATTTTCACCAGACGTTTTAATTGCCTAAAGAAAAATACTATGTAAATTTGAAAAAAATTCGTTCAGTCACTTTTGTGTAATGAGATGATAAAGTTGACTATCTTCAGCAAACCTTGCATGTTCAAGACCGTAAAATGATACAAAAAAAAAATTATAAATCGATTCAAATATGATATGGGTTAAAAAAACATTACTAAAAGTTTCTGAAAAAAAAAAAAAAATTTTAATTAAAAAATTTGTTGACCTTCAAATTTTGCTAGTAAGATACTACAAAGTTTAAAGGATCTAAATCAAAATTTCGATGTTCAAAAAAATTCAAAATTTATAAACTTAAGAATGAAATCGAAGTACTATTTAATATGAGTAAAACAGTGATAGTTTCACAGTGATAGCTTATTTGGATGTGAAGTTATAGGCTCTAGAACTCTAGGCTGTTTTTCATGTTTTTAATTATAAAAAATGCACTATCTGGTAAAAAAACAATAAAAATATATATATATATATATTATTTTTGTTGTTAATGATTGTTAAAAACTCTATGATATAAATTTCATAAATTTCTGAACTATACGAGCACACACATTAGGTGATTTCACATGGAATGACCCATATAGAAGTATTAATATATGAATACTCTCAACATCTTATAACAATTTTCTATATTATATTTGTCTACTCCTGACACCTGAAGTGTTCTCCTTTTAAATTTTAGTTAAAGGAACACTCAAACAAGTCTTATAAAAATCATAGGCAAATTTTTGAGTCCAAACGGTAGTACACGAAATTGAAACAAGCCCCTTCTTGTTCTAAATGCCGTAAACTTACGGGCTTTTTGATTTAATGAGCATTTCCAATAACCTGATTTTAAGTCGAGAGTCGTGTATATTGTTGCCGCTCTCATGTTTCTAACCATGTCGTTTAGATTAGGAATGGGGTACGCGTCCGAGACGGTTACTTCGTTTAGTCGTCGGTAATCTATACATAAACAAAAAGTCCCGTCCTTCTTCTTGGCCAGCACGATCGGTGCTGACCACGGCGTTACACTTGGTTCTATTAGCCCTTGCGCCTCCATGTCGTTTACCATATCATCAATAATCTCCTGCTTGTGCAGGGCGAAGGGTACGGTTTTAGTGCGATAGGAGTCGGGTCTTTCAATAGAATATCGTGCTCGATCAATTTTTTGCGACCCACCGTGTCGTTCAACACCGCTGCGCAATTACATATCGTCTGTGTTAATAATGCGCGCGTTCGTCGGTCGCCGGTTATATCTAATTACGTCAGATCTGGTTTGCGGATCGTGTGTCGTGAGCCTGATTTCCAACAAGCGGTTGTACGTTTCTTAGTGCCTAAGTGTATGTTCCCACTGAGTAGTCCCAAGCGACTTTCTGATCAATCAGTAATACATCGAAATACAGGTCGTCTAAAAAAACTGCTGAAAAACGCACTTCTAAATCCACGATTTTGGCGGTAAACGTGGCGGTACCGTTCGTCATGGCGGTGTGTCCGTCCGCTAGTCCAACCACGTCAGTTTGTCCTTTATAAACAGTTCCGTATTTATAAGCAATTACCGGTTTTACATAAGATTTATGCGCCTATGAGTCGAGTAAAGCTGTGACGAAGCCAGTTTCGAATTCTAACTCGACTGCTAGAGTAGTAATTCTACGCGGGCATTTTTGTTGGCCATTACTCGGGTGGTTTACGGTTCGAACGGGGGGCAGCTGGTTCTTAACCGCGACGTCGGTTTGCCGACTGACAGCATTAACTGCAATGCATAATAAACTTGGTTAACGTTTATTGGGAGCCCTGTCGCGTCGTTTTTAAGTCCGTCTCGAGTGCAGTCCTGATATCGATATTGTCGAACATCTCAAGTAATTTGGACCTAAATTTCATCCATGGCATATTATTTAATTTAATTGCTCGCCACCAATCATCTACCCTGTCGTTCAAAAACGGGACGACGATGTTCACCCACGCAGTTGGGTGTATACCGCCCTGACAGAGTAGATCCTCCGTTCTATCTAGAAACTCCCGTGGGTCCTCTTCGTTTCTTCCGTCATATTCGGGTAGGTAGGCGCGTATGGTGCGCAGGTCGTGGTAAGGTACAAATACAGACCGCGAGCTGCGGGTAGGCGACAAATCATTAAAAAACCGACGACCTTCGGTTGTGTTGAATTGCCCCTCCCGTGGTTGGCGCGTAAACGAAAAATGAGTCAGCTCGTTCTCATATGTATGAGTGCGTGGGTAATGTTCATTTTGCCAACCCGTGCTACACATCCGTGATAGCGACGCGCGTGACGATTGTCCGTCGGTTGCGGGCTTCTTGCGCTTCGATGTCTGCGAGGCGCTCGTGAAGTGTTGCGTCGTGTTGCGTCGCGTCCGTCGCTCCCGAAGGACCGAATGTAACGTGATGCGCGTCCTATCGTCGACTATCATTTCGTTCAACGTGAACTTGTCAAATAGTCGGTTGTACAGCAACATGTGGGGATGGCAGCATATTTTGACTGATTCGCTCAAACATGTTTGAAATCTGTCGCTGTTCCATTGACATACGCGACAGCGACCTTTCTAATTCAGTCATCTGTGCCTCGATCCGCGCGTTATTCAAAATGTCGCGAATGTTCTGTCGGATCGCCCCGACTTATTCTGCCGCGTGCGCTATCGGGCAAGCAACGTATACGTCCTCAACGTACGGCGTGCCTAGTTGTCTGCTTGTGCGCGTAATTTCTCCCGGTTGTTCGACATCAGATTCGTCGTCTGATATGCGTACCACGAGGTTCACCGGATGTACCTCCGGTAAAGGCGCTACGCCGGACTGCTGATTGTTTGCGTCGATATCATCTTCGCTGACACGATCCGTGGAGTTGTCGAAAACCACCACTTCGGGTTCGCGGAACGGAATTTCGCTATCGAGCGGCATACGCAGTGGTAAAATTTCGGTAGCTGGATTCCTCCCTTCGCAACGTATGTTTTCCTCTAGCATAATTACCATATTGGGTTTCGTCGCGTAGCATGGTAGATGTCTGAAAGCGCATTCGCGACGCAATTCAGCGAATTCATTTGTGCTAATGATTTCCCCGATATATTGACCGTGAATATTATGTTTATTTACAAACATTAATAATCATATGTAGCTACGATTATAGCGAAGATAAACAATATCTCCGTGTACGGTCAAATTGGCTACTGCTGTAGAAAAAACAAGTGTTATTATTATTGCTATTGTTGTTATAAAGTACCGCGATAAGATGGTACGGGGCCGCCGTTTAAGATATGGCAGCGAGTGAACAATAATAATAACGGTTACCTTGGAATCGACCACTTCGACACGATTAGACGAAAATATACTATTTTTATCTACCAAAAGACTAATTATCGGGCGGAAATTTTTGTCGTTATCAATAAGGTCTTTATAACAAACTGTAACCAACACTTTTCAACGACAATACTTACGGCGGATTATATTAGATAAACTGCTCTAACTTTATTTTTATATATAAAAAAAAAAAAAATTACAGAGACCAGGCTAAATTTAATCCCACTAACACGTAACCGTGAATAAAAATTCACTGCTGTCACCAGTAAAATTCGTTCAAATAACTATATGAACAATAAAAATTTGTAAGGGAGACTTCATCGTTCCAAGTTAAAACTAAAATCTAATATAATTAGAAATAAAACTGAATCGGCTCAAAACCTCTTACCTTAACTTCTCTCGGCCGGTTGAGATCCCGTTTAGGGAGCCAGTTATCGCGTAATCCACTACTATGGCCGCACAAGATATATATATATATATATTAGCACACAATGTATGTCACTAACCAAATTAGACTTCTTCTCTCATCTACTGTTAGTTAGATATAATTTCAGCTATATAGATGAAGATAACAAAAGGATTACACCAATCAAAGAAAACACCAAAAGCTTAAATCACGCAAAAAGAAGTCAGATACACAATTCAAGCGCGAATCAGTTAAGGTGTATGTCGGAAACGAAACAGAACGCAATATCCATAATCCATACTCGGCGGCGGCCTTATCTCGGTGTCAAGGGCGGGGAATCAACCGATGACAACCAATTGTCATATTAATAGCTGAACGGCTGATATCGAGAGAGACAAGGGTGAGCGCCAGCCTAGAGCGTAGGACGGTGCCGTGTCAATTTATAAAACAAAGTTATACATTATATCAAACTAACCCTTTAATAAAAATGTCACTATGTTTTTCTCCAGTAATAAAATTATCATCTACTAATTTTACTTCCGCAACTGACCATACAATTACACGTAGTTCAAGTTCTTCGGCTACAGGATGTGTTATATCAACAGGGTTTGGTAAAGTACTTTTTTGAGGAAAAATATCAACCCACATTTCCAATTTTCCCTAAATTTTATTTATATACTTCAAAATTTTTAATTTTAAAACATATAATATTTACTCGTTGTATATTTGGAAAATTTGAATTCTGAAGAGTTCTTGTTTCGACGTGTTCTGGAACTAAACTATAACCTAAAACTGGTATTTCATGCCAATGATTAAGAACATGTAAAGCTAAGGTTTGTTTATCAGGTACAGAATTGTGTTCAATAATAGTAAACTTTTTAGGACCAATCGTTACACAATTTTTAAAGTATGTTGGTGGCTTTAAGTTATTTGATTCACACAGACTATGTAATATTTTTGATGGCGTCTCATAATCCCTCCATTTGTTGTATCCTGTTCTAAATAAATATTTAAATAATAATTTGTGTTAGTATTTTATGTAATGGTTTAGATTAGTTTCAGTCAAATGTTAATAGTTATTCATATTAGTGAATATAAGTAGAATACATTTAATATTCTATTTATTTATTCTATAATTAAAGAAAAAATTTGTGGGGCTAACATAATCCAACTTTGATAATAACAAAAATATTCTTGATAAAAAGATTTAAAAATGAATATATGTGTTTTACACAAGGTATAAAGATTAATTAATTATTAGAATTTTAATATTCTTCATTTAAATAATAAATAGTTTTTAGTTACCTCATTAAGTCAAAACTTTTTAAGCCTACTATCAAAACTTTAAATTATATGTATTATTATAAAATATTAATATTTCACTTATATTTACCTATCATAATGTCTTGTTAAGCCACAACTTGGTCTATGTCTGCTATAGTACCTTGATTCAATGTCAATTGATGTTTCACCAATTAAATCATCTTGACCAAAATTGTCATGATCCATTATTTTGACTATCAAAGTAGAGCAATCCGGAAATGATATCACTTTTTGATAACATCTTTCGATAAATTTAATAAATATTTGTAAACAATTTATATTAGATAGCATGGAGTGTCAATTTTTTTAATTTCTCTTGCTTGTTCTTTCAACTATTCGGGGTCGAACTATAATTCCCATCTTACATAATAGAGAATTTATGAGAATTTCTCTCCATCACAATGGGAAACAAATAAGGACTCGAAACATAACATTGATGCTTTCCTACTTTTCCTCAATAAGAACTGTTCTATTTCGTATATACAAAAAATACGAGAAAGAAATATTTATGTCGTATATTTATGAAACAGTACTTCACACGGGACACACATGAAAATATAGACTTTTTAATTTTTATGTTAGATTCAAAATTAAGAGTTTATTGATTTATTGTATTACACACGTATTAAAAAATAAATTGATTATACTACTACATAGTTATTTTTCAAAAATCCTCATAAAATACATCATTCGATTTTTTTAAAAAAAGTATTGTTGATTTTATAATGCTCAATCATAATTTTGGCGTGATAGATGAATTCTATGTACATTGTTTTAAAATGTGCTTTATGTAAATTTTATAAAAATCAGTTGCTTTTTTAATGATTTTTCGAGAAAATAAGATTTATTTAAGTTATCAATATAACAAATTGTATTATATCACATTTTGTTCAATAATAATAAAATGTAATATAGGTATCTAACACGCTCGGCATACTTTTTAAGAAAATATAAATTTACATAGATACTTACCGACCAAATATAGGATTTAAAGTTTTAGGTACATATTTATTGTAGTCAGAAACTTTATGCTTTTTTCCAAATAAAACTTCTACATAAGGATCAGCCAAAGAACACGAATCACTTGGATGCAAATCGTATGCTCTAATTATATAAACGCGTACTAATACTTTACATTTGATGTTCGATTTTATATTAGGCCAATTTTGATATTCCAAACTATTTAAAAATAATTCTTTTAATTTTGAAAATTTAAATTCATCATTGCTCTGTAACTCAGGGCGTATTTGGACATTGGCCTAATAATATAATATTCATAAAAATCTAAATGTATCAAAATTTACTAAAGTATGCTGAAATTTCTATGAATTAATTTTACAATACCTTTAAAGTTGCAACTACTGAAGGACTGACATCATCATCATTACTGTAACCATAAATTTCAAAACTTTTTAAATTATCTTTAAAACCATTAAATTCTGATATGCTTTCAAGTTCTTCGTCGTATACCTGAATTGCATTATGAAATTACTTGAATTACAGATAACATTTTTTTAAATACTAAGAAGTATAATAAATATAACGTACTATAAGTGATACAATTTTTGAAGAACGGTTTTTTGTGTAGTTGGTATTAAATTCTTTGCAACACTTGCAAAAAGGAAGTATTTTACAAAATGTTTTTGAAACCTTTTTTGTTGAATAGTAATCATTCTTATAAAAATTATTCTGTTAAAATTTAATTTTTCATTTTATTAAATTTTTAAATAATTACTTAATTACTTTATAGTCTTGATTTAAAATATGCAGAATGATTCACTTATCATGAACTATTTAATTAACCAAAAAATAAGGATATTATTAATATTTTTTTATTGGTTTCTTTTAGTCAATGTTTCTCTCAGCTTATCAATCATGAAGTATTTTTTAAGTTCATCCATTTGTATACCTTTTAAGGGTCTTAACCTTTGGACCAGTATTTCAGAAATGATCAACAATTTATAGTTAAGACTGGGTTAAAGAAAAGCTGATATTATTATAATTAGAAATTTCCCGACAGTACTTTTCCTCCCGCTAATTTGTAAACATGTCAACAACTATCGAAGTATTGGTCCAAAAGTTGTATTTCTTGTATTCAATGATTAAATTGAATATTTTTAACATCATATACCTATTTATTTCTCATAAACTAAAATTGTTTTTTAAAAAATTAATTGTTGTTCAATAGAACGGTTCTATAATATTTGATTCTATTATCATCTATTACTATATGTTGATTTTTTTGTAGCTTTTTTATGTAAATATTAAAGCTTCACAATTAAAAAAAAGTTATAAGATATAGTATTAATTAGCGATATAAATTACAAAAATGAATTCTTATTTATTTTGACATAATTAGTATAACAAGAGTAAGGTATGTACAACAAATTATAATATACAACGAGGTAGTTAAATAGTGCAACCAGCGCTCAATATAAAAGAAATATGAGCAGCAATCACGAGAGTAAACCGAGAATTTAATACAACAGAGGGAACAAAATTAGAAATGTCATTGAATTCTAAAAATTTTATAAACAAACACTTACTAGACGCCAAGGAGGAGCAATTCGATTAATAGTTAGGAAATCTCCCTGATATTTTTATCGACATAAAAAATGTAGGAAAACTCGTGAAAGGAGAGGGTAGTGCTCGTTTATATATTGAAAAATGAGACTATAACAACTCCCATGTAGAAGTCCACGAAAAGAGTTGTTAATCTATTTTCAGAGTGGTAAGGTGAGATTAAAAAAATATTTCCATTAGAATTTGTATCAAAAGTAATTTTAACACGTTTAGAACTAATTGGTTTGATGTTAAGAATGCCTTTATATGCTTTTGTCATTACGTTACCAAGTTTCAATAGATGTAAATTACCAATACTGTTATTGTCAGACGTAAAAATTAACATATATAAAGGAATGGTTATCTGTAAAGTATATAATACCGTCATTATATTTGATACTATGAGTTAAGGACATTAGCTTATCTGAGATAACAATAACCAGATCGACGTGCATGCAGTCATTCAACCAAGAAAATGGTAAGGTATTGGTTGCGTTTTTGATTTTTTTGTTGGAGGGCCAAATGGAGACTTCGCTTTATTATTAATTGAAGTTTTCTTACCAGAAGCTAAACGATTCTCAACCAAATATGATGCACGTGAACATTTGAGGCCGATTTGAGGGTTTTTGAATGCCCCCCCCCACTTGAGCCTGATTAAACATAACTAGAGTAAAATATGTAAGTAGTCATACTATAGTGTTTATAAGATAAATAACCATTTACGAAAACGACTTAACAACTATGTATATAAGTGCTCGATCTACGATAAAACGTCCATACTTGGCGGATAAAACGCAAGTGTACTTTTTTGTTATAGTCATAATTTTCTGTTATTTTAAGTAATCGTTGACAAAACTATTTGTAATAATTTTTGAAACTATTACCCCAGATTTAGGTATTACCCCAGAAAACTCAGTAAACTGAGATAATTTTGTTTAAATATTATAGTACTTTTCAATAAAAATTTTTTTTTATAATTTGTAGAAATTTTTGACACAATTGCCAAAATATTTTTCTAAATATTTAATGTTGAGAATTTTTTTTTCAGTTTTCGCTGACTTAGGTTCAATTTAATTAAATTCGACTTCTTTTGATTCATAGGTTAATAATATTGGTGCAGTGATAATAGCTGAATATTTTTATAGACCTACATAAAGCGTGAAACCTAACACATCACGGAGAAACCAATAATTTTACATCGAAACTATTAGGGTACGAGATTTGTATTTATAAAAATAATGGAAGTACTGATATTAATATTGTTTCAATTGTAGTAATTAAAATTTTTTATCATATTGAATAAATTTACCTTCTTTATTTTGGATGCATAGTATTTACTCCACCAATTATAGTCTACTTCTTCTTCTGTTTCTTCTTTTATCTTTTCATATTTATCGTCAAAGAAGTCAATGAAACGGGTGCATTTAAGTTTTAGTAACTTAAAGAATTTATATATACAAGGGCAACAACATAAAAACATTTTAATATTAATTTTCATTACTGATATCACAATTTGATTAAATATTTTTAAGCAAGATAGATTTAATCCTTTAACAATTATGTTCAATAAGTAACTACAATGTTTTTTTAGTTTATTACTATCCTAAAAGTTAAAATTAATATAATTGTATAAAATTAGTATTAAAGATGTTTTGAAAATATAGTATATAAACCTTAGTTATTTCATGATTTTCGTACTCTATATTTTCATCATCATAATTTGAGGAGTTATCATCATCCATTTGAACAACTGTTACAAAAGAAAAGAAAATTCATTGATGCATGTACAAATCTAAATATAATTTTTTATTATATTGACCTGTACTTAATGGTATTTGACTTTTTAAAATATTCGATTCAATTTCAGTTATTGAGGATACTAAAAATTGTTTAACTGATTGAGGGGCAGACATGCCAATTTGATGAAATTTCTTCTTTAACTTCAGTTTACTAAATAATTGAAATGTTATTGGGGGTATAATGTCTATACTTTCTGGGAGTTCCTTCATTTATAATAAAATTTTAAATAGGTACAGTAACATAAAAAGAAATCGTAAGATCATACAATAGTAAAAGTATACTTGATTTCATCAGGAAAATTTGGAAAAAAGGCAACATTTTTTAAAACATTTGATTTTACACCAGATCCAGAACATGACATATCAACATAAAGTTCGTGGTGGTACAATTTTAGATTTCTAATACCCCAAAATAATACATTTAATCTATAAAATAATCAATTAAAAATTATAACTATATAATAAAAATTATTCGGGATATACCTGAACATGCGTGTATTTTTCCCATAAATTTCGTAATTTAATTTCCCTTACTCTTTTTAATAATAAATCCAAAAAGGACAAATTGACTTCTACTTCCTGTTCGTATATGAATTTAATCAATGGGTAAAAATAATTTAAATGTTTTACGGAGACTTCCGTATTAAAAAACTTTCTATATACTTAACCCAAATTTTGGAAAAACACCATAGGTTTTTTTTAAATTTAATTCTGATAAAACTAATGATAACGGATATCCTTATATATCCTCAACTTACTCCTAAAATTTATTTTGAAACTGAAAAAAATGTTGACCTATACAACTTTTTTAAATTAAAAAGCTCATTTATTTTATCCTGTTGTATTTTTGAGAGCAGTCGGAAATAAGTCTAATGCGTCAAAATAAATTAACCTATAATTATTTTGAAAAGAAAAAAGCAGATCATTTTTACACTTACTTCAGTTTTTAACTAAAAAACTATCGAATTTTTGAACTGATAAAACTCTCTTAGTAAGTATTTAGTCAATTTGCTAGTTAGACAAATGAAAATTTATTATTAAACTTTTGTAAGTTGCAAAATGTGATAATATCACTGGGAGTATATAAGGGGTTATTTTTCGTCGGGGTATCAATGTGTGTTTAGCGTTGAAAATAGTAACATTCTTTACTAAATATACGTAGTTTTTTTTTAAATTTTCACGATTTATACTTTATGTTATAATTAAATTAAAACAATTTTTTTTTTACGATTTTCCCACTATTATGGTTATTTCAATGTTAAAAATAGCCAGAACGTTGAAAAGCACTGATTATTTTAGACTTAATCTAATTATAACTTAAAGTTAACATAAAAAAATTATGTGAAATTCTAAGTTTTAATGACATTTAATGCATTTATGAGCTCACTAAAACCATTAAGAAGTTATGAATGCGTTAAAACATTCGTCATCAGGAGCGTACGCTCCATAAACGATTTAGAGAGGAAGACGTACCGACCGTCGATTCGTCGACGCAGACGGACCCTCCGGAGGTTACGGTCAGTGTTGTCGTGGACCCGGACACCGAGGCCTCCGTGCCCACGAGTCCCAACGAGATTGCGGCACCCGTCATCCAGCTATACACCGCGAGAATTGGTAAACGGGTCCGTAAGAGACGGAGGAGACAGCGGAGAAGGGAGAATGCCCATTAACCGGTGACGGTAGTGTCTCCGTGCGCACCGGAACCGCCGCATCAAACTGCGGTAGCGGTAGCGCCAGTCACCTTTTTTTTTTTTTTCCTCCTTTTTGACTTGATGTGGGCCGCCCTGGAACTGCCGTGTGGCATTGCTTCAGGGTGGACCACGTCGCCTAATGTCTTCTTACCACCGTGCTGAGATACGGCCCAAGTTTACACCTGAACCGAATCCCAGCACAGCGTAGCCTCCCCCGTTAGCCTACTAGAGGGTCCGTTTCCCGGGTTGGACCACGTGGAGGTGGGGTAGGCCGTCTTTCTTCTTGTTGGTCAGATTTAGAACCCGACCTTCTTCTTTTCTGCTACTACCGGGGCAGTCTTTGGAAAGGTGCCCCTCCTTCTTGCACCTGAAGCAGTCCTTTGACCGGTCCGGTCCCTTACACGCGTGAGCGAATATGCCCACGTTCCAGACACCTGTAGCGCTGAGAATCCTTAGCCTACAGGAAGTCCACCCAACCCGGACTCGGCCTATGATAAGCTATATAGTTTTTCTGAAAAAAAAACCGCAAGTAGGGAATGCTTCAGGTATGCAGCACCCCGAAAGGGTGATAAGGAAGAATAAATTAGGCCATGATCGTCATTGTCCCAAGATATCTCCGGCAAATTGTAGTTACCACATAAAATAATTGCGTGGGCAGTGTAGCTCTTACTTATGTATTCGATAGAGTTAGATGACTCATAAAGGATAGGAGAAAATTGACCAACCATAAAGCGAACAAAAACTTGTTCAAAATTTAGGTCAGGGACCTAAATAAGAGAAGATATAAGAGAAGCAGGTTGATCTTTATGAATGCCAACGAGGACGCCTCCACCCCGAGAAAATACACTAGTATTAGTACATCTGTCGCATCTAAAAATATTATAGTTATATAAACCAAGTTCATTATCATTAAAGTTATTATTTAACCAGGTTACCGTTAATACAATGAATAATTGGTTAAAAGCAGATATATTACAAATAAAATTAGTTGGTTCTAAGACCACGGTAATTTTGATAAAATCCTAAGATTTTATTATGGTGCAGCGAAGAAGCTAGGATTGGTTGGTATGACTGTTGAAACGACCACCCTCGTTTTTTGAAAGCGATGAATCAACAGTAGGGAACCTGTTTACGAATATCACGCGCACGCCTGTTTCACCACTTTTGACTCTCCATTCAAGGTCCTTGTATTATGAGCGCAAGAGCTAATGCTGCAAGGAAGTTCTATCCCTGGACATCCGAAAATTTTCAGGAAAAGACTTTCCCAAACGTTTATCAGACTTATATGCAGAAAATAGGTTGAAAGCAGTATCTTTAGATTCAAAAATCATTTTTACTGGGCGTATGAAATCCACACGGGATCTACCAAGGTGAATTAACTTAAATTACTCAGGAACAGCATTCTCCAGCGAACCCAGAGATTTAGATATAGTAAATTTGTCATGTTCAATCTTTGAAGAGGTATCCGATGAAGAAGACTCAGGACACCATATAAGATTAAATTGGGGAGACACCTTTCATGCTCAACATTTTCTTGAAGTACTTGAGATACAATAGATTGGGAATTCTCAAAGGGTTGCTGCCCTTACCTTACTACGATGTTTTAAGTTCGGATACTACTTCAGTCAATTTTTGGAATTCCGATTTAAGTTCACTAAATTTCAAGTTCAAAGAGTCAAATAGTGCATTATTAGTAGTAAAAATTTCCACCTTAAGAGCCTTATTTCAGTCAATATATCCTCATGGGAAGTCGGGCCTTTAGGGGAAGATAGTTTGTTGTTGGCAGCAGTACGAGTGATAGGCATGTTGAAAATTTAACTAGTCAAGTTTACTATCGTTCAAGTCTCCAAAGAAAAGTAGAGCAGTGGTACATGGTTGACGTAAAGTATAAATAACAA